AAATATCGATTGCTTCAAGGAAATTTAGATTTGTTTGTAGTGTTTTTGAAAGTGTTTACTGGACAATAAGTTTACTTATATAGAAATTTGTGTATTTTATCTTTGTGACATAACCTACTTGTGTTTTTTAATTAAAAATGGAGTCTCTTATTGACATTCAGTAAGACATTAATGTAAAAATGCTCAAGTCAAAATCTAACTTCAAAAAATGTCCTAAAGAACGTCTAACTGATTGTTATATAGAAACTAGGATTGAAAACTTAGAACAGCAATGGCAATTATTCTACAAAACACATGTAAAATTAATTAGTGAGGTAAAAAAGTCTGATTTATTTAATTCAAATTATCATAAGAATGGCTTATATGATGAGGTCGAAGAGTTTTATATACAGTTTAAAAGCAAGTTGAAAGAAATATTAAACAACGTTGAAATGTCTAGTGAAACGTGTAATGTTAATCAAGGAGCTACCTGTAGTACAAAATAATGGCGTGGCCATGTTCATAATCACGTCAGCAATGGAGTTGTACTCCATTGCTGACTTGAATTTTCAATCAGCAAATCGCACTGATTGAAAATTGTGACAGTGCCGCAAAAATTATGCAAAAATTAGAATCCATCTACGAGCAAAAAACAGAGTTCAATAAAATGATGATTCATGAACGATATTGTCAATTGTAAAATGAGTCCTTCCGATTCAATGGCTCAACACATTTCAAAAGTTGAAGGGTTGGCACAGCAACAGACCATACACAACCTCACAGCTCGATTGATTGATGAAGAAAACAATTTATCATCAGAAGAGCAAAATGAGATTGCTCTTGTAACACAGGAAAAATCTGTCAAAAATACTCACAAGGCCATCGCTTTAATTGTTACAACTGTGGCAAACGTGGACACTTTGCTCGACAGTGTCGGACACAAAAGAAAACTGATTCAACTGAAAACCATAGCAACATGCTAGCATTTCATGCAGAAAGTGTGAGTATTGTTAACAGCTCAAGTGATGACATCTGGCTATTAGATAGTGGAGCATCAGGTCATATGACATTTAGGAAATAATTTTTTAATGATCTACAATAATTCAATGATGGTACCTATAGATGTGTAAAATTAGGTAATCAACAAGATCTTAAAGTGTGTGGAATAGGAACAGTAATAATTAAGAAATGTATAAAGGGACAGTGGGAGGATAATATATTGAAAGAAGTTCTTTTTGTGCCTGAATTAAGAAGAAATCTATTCTCAGAAGGTGCCATTATGCGCCTAGGTTATGAAATAATAAAAGAGAACAATAATTCTTTTATTTACAAGAACAAAGACTTGGTTTTAGTGCAACACAAAGTTGAAACAACTTATATGAATTGAACTTTAAAACTGTAATAAGTGCTAATTCTAATACAGTGCAAAAATAACAAGATACTATAAAACTGTGGCATGAGAGACTTTGTCACTTAAATATAAATGAGATAAAAAATATGATTAAAAGTGGATTATTACAATGTGCTGATGAATCTATTTATCAATTTGTCTGTGAAGCATGTATTTATGGAAAGCAAAGCCGTTTTCCATTTCAAGCATCACACCGAGGCCAATTAAACCCAGGGAATTTGGTCTAGTGATGTTTGTGGTCCAATAAGTGAGTCTTCAATACAAGGTATGAAATATTTTATTCTATTTAAAGATGCAGCCTTAAGTTTTTTTGCATGTTTATCTTATGAGACACAAAAGTGAAGCATTAGACCATTTTAAGTCATATAATGCCTTAATAATGAATAAGTTTGGCCACAATGTACGAGCTTTACATTCTGATAACGGCAAGGAGTATGTCAATAATGATTTTAAAGAGTACATGTCTCGTAATGGAATAATTCATGAATCCACAGCTCCTTACATCCCACAGCAAAATAGACGTGCTGAACGAGAACTCCGCACTATTATGGAAAGTGCACGAACAATGCTTCACGACACCCACGGGACGATATGGGGGTAGTGTGGTAGTCGTGGATGTTCTAAAAAGCGACTTTGAGAAACACCGTTCAGATCACATGACTCCGATAGATGGCGGTATCTACACCTTATTTTATACTAGCATACCGCCCCGGCTTCGCACGGGATATTTCTAGTTATCATCAATAGCACCACCTATGGTTCCAATTGTGAAACTAAATCTTCTCTTCTCTAGGAGCCCACTCTAACACAAAAAAAATCACGAAAATCGGTCCAGCCGTTCTCAAGTGATGATATTTCATAAACGCGGAAATTGATTTTATATGAATGTATAGACTATACATACACATATAAACTTTTTTTTTAAGCTATTCTGCCTACTAATGAAAACCGCAACAAGATGAGTTACGTATTTTAAAATATCTAAGCGTACAGACTTTGTTTTGTACTATGTAAGGATTAAGTTTTTGTACGTGGTAGAGAATAATTTAAAATTAAAAATTTTGTACAACCGACTTCACTATAATTTACCTCTAAATTTGTGGGCTGAGGCTGTAAATTGTGTAGTGTACATAATTAATCGAACTACTTCCAGTCAAACTCTAAATAAATCACCATTTGAAATTTGGATGGGAACAAAACCAAATTTAAATCATCTTAGAGTATTTGGTTCTTATGGCTATGTTCATGTGCCTGATGATTGCAGAAGTAAGTTGGATAAGAAAACTAATAAAATGATTTTGGTTGGCTATGACAATGAAAATTATAGGATGTATAATCCACATACATGTAAAATAAAAATATCTCGAGATATGATATTTGATGAGAGTCTTCAATCTAAAACCAATAAACATACTGTAATTGAAGTAGGAGATTCTGATTCAGTACGAAACATTCAAGAGTTGCAATCGATACAACCATTGACACCAGTATCTATGTCAACATCAAACCAAAAACAATCGTTGACAAGTGAAGACCTGTCAAATGATGACAGTTAAAAAAGCTGTGATAATGATAACACTTATGTACCATCTCCAGAACTAGATGATGATAATATTACACGAAACATCAACTTAAGACCAAGAAGAAATTTAAACTATGAAGCGTTTGTAACAAAATTACCTGTACCACTTACCTATGATAGTGCAATTAATGGTCAAAATTCAGACAAGTGGAAGCTGGCTATTGAAGAAGAGTTAAAAGCTCATGAGCTTAATAAGACATGGACAATATTTGATAAAACTGATAAAAAGCCAATATCTTCTAAATGGGTGTTCAGAATTAAAATAAATAAAACAGGTGAAGTGGAAAGATACAAAGCGAGGCTATGTGCTCGAGGCTTTAATCAAGTAAAGGATGTTGATTACACAGAGACATTTGCTCCAACAATTTTTTGATGCCATCAGAATTTTACTCAGTCTTGCTGCAAAATACAACTATGAAATCATTCAGTTTGACATAAAAACAGCATTTTTGTATGGTGAACTCAAAGAAGATATATTTACTAGGCCTGTTGGTCTAGTGGTTAGTGACCCTGACTGCTACGCCGGAGGTCGTGGGTTCGATTCCCACCCAGGACAAATGTTTGTGTGATGAACACGATCATTTGTTCTGTGTCTGGGTGTAATTTATCTATAATATGTATGTATTTAGAAATATATAAGTATGTTTATCAGTTGTCTAGTGCCCTTAACACAAGCTCTGCTTAGCTTGGGACTAGATGGCGTTGTTTGATAGTTGTGGAATATTATTATTATTATATTATTATTATTATTATTATTTATGGAAATACATAATGGTGTTATTGCTGAAGAAGGAAAGGTATGTAAACTAAACAAGTCCCTGTATGGCCTCAAGCAGGCACCTCGCTACTGGAACACCAAATTTACAGCTTTTTTGAAGTCATATGGATTTAATCAGTGTAAATCAGATAGCTGTGTTTTCATAGGTAATATTCATAATGAAAAGGTGTTATTAATATTGTTTGTGGACGATGGCCTTATTTTTTCATCAAACAAGTATTTTTAAATTCAGTAACAAATATATTGAAATCTAATTTTGATGTTAAAATCTTAGAGCTAAATGACTTTGTTGGTCTAGAAATTAATAAAACTCAGAATTATATATGTATAACACAAACAAGTTACATAGAACATGTGGCTAAAAATTTTAATATGTCAGAAGCAAGTACATGTAATACTCCAATTGATTATAATGTATCTTATGTAAAAAATGTACACGATACTGTCAATTTTCCATATCGAGAGACAGTAGGTTGTCTTTTATTTTTAGCCTCAGTATCCCGTCCAGATATTTCATTCGCGGTCAATGTTGTGAGTCGTTTTGTAAATAAACCAAGTATTGAACATCTTAAAGCTGTAAAACGTATTATAAGGTATTTAATTGCTACAAAAAGTATTGGAATAAAGTTTAAAGGCGATAGTGAAATTGTTGGATACTCAGATGCAGATTATGCTAATGATTTAGACACCAGAAAAACAACAACTGGTTACATATTTATCATGAACAATGGCCCTGTTACTTGGGCGAGCAAAAAGCAACAAACAGTTGCTTTGTCCACTATGGAAGCTGAATTTATGGCTGCCTGTGATTCAACAAAAGAAGTCACACTTAACGCCAAAGACCATTTGGTCGAATGTCATGGACATGTCAAAATTTTTTTATTGTAAAAATGGCTTCTACTGGTCACAAAATATGCACTGTTTTTTTTTATTGTTTTATTTACCCCCTTTTTTTAGGTGTATACTTTAAGATACACCGGCCTGGGAATTAATCCAAGACGAAATTTACGTTCCCAGGCCAGGTGTATCTTAAATGATACACCACATGCTTTTGTAAAAAAAGACTCATACCTCACTAAGTATCTTATTCTTCAGTATTATTTCCTTTTTGTTTCAGATTTTTGAAGAAGACAGAAGATGAATCAAGATTGCAAAAAGGAAAAACTATAGCGAGAATTGTATGTTCTTGCTATAATTTTTCCTTTTCTTTATTGTTACAGTGAAGTGAAAATTTGTTTTATAAAAATATCATGGATTTCTCAAGCGATGACTCTCTTGATGATCCCAATTGTGCACCTGACGCATCTGGTGACTCAACTTCGGAGTACGATAGTGCAGATGAAGAGCCTTTAGCCAGATGGAGGATCCATCACTCGACCAACAGACCAAGTTCAACTGGTTCAACCCAGAACTTTTCTGAAGATGAAATAGTTAGGCAGCAAGTTGCCAATATTGATTGGGGTATTCCCAAAGATCATATGCCCAATGAAGACTTCTCAGGTGTGGCAGTCATGAAGGATATACATCAAGGAATTATAGCAGATGGTACACCACTTGATTATTTCGAGGTGTTTTTGACTTTTGATATAGTTCAAACGATAGTTGATCAAACTAACCATTATGCCTGCCAACATCTAACAGCAGGCAATATAGATGTTGGTCCACAATCAAGACTACGTAATTGGAAACCTGTGACCATCAATAAAATGTATAAATTTCTAGCTCTAATTGGATGGATGGGGCTGGTGAAGCTACCTTGCATTCGTGATTACTGGAGAAAGCATAAGCTGTATGGACTACCACTGGCCAGAACAGTTATGCCACGTAACAGATGTGAGCTTATCCTGAAATTCCCTCATTTCTCAGATAACGAACAAGACCCCGGCGATGACCGTTTGTATAAGCTAAGAACATTGATGGATAAGTTCATACATAATTTTCAAAACGCTTTCACACCTGGTAAAAAGATATGTATCGACGAAAGTCTGATCCCTTGGAGAGGGAGACTTATTATGAAGCAATACATCCCGAACAAACGCCACAAATATAGCATCAAATTGTTCAAACTATGTACAGACAGGGTATACGTGGAATATGTCTGTCTATTATGGAAAGACTCACGTGAATGCTCAAACAGATCAAGGTGCTGCTGAAAAAGTTGTGATGAGCCTAGTAAAAGATCTTCTAGATGAGAACAGAATTCTTTACACGGATAATTACTACACGAGTATCCCACATGCCTATAGGCTCAAGAATAGAAAGACAAATTTGGTGGGCACGTTGAGACTCAATAGAAAGCATTTACCAAAAAATTTAGTCACACAGAAACTGAAGGAAGGAGAAATAATAGCGAAGGAAACGACAGACGGAAAGATAAGAGAGTCGTTACAACTTTGAGCACTGTACATTCGGCGAAGAAAATGACAGCAGTAAAAACAAAAAGAGGACAAGTTATTTTCAAACCGGATTCTGTTGTTGATTACAATACTGGCAAGTCATCAATAGATGTCAGTGACCAAATGGCTTCATATGCATCAGCTTTGAGGCGATGTACTAAATGGTACAGGAAGCTAGCAATTGAGTTTATTTGGGGTACGAGTTTGGTAAATGCCTACTTTCTTTATAATGAGTGTTCTCGAAACAAGAAAATTACTATAACGGAGTTTCGTGAAAAAGTTATCGAAGGAATGATTGATAAATTTGTGGATCAATCACCAGGAAACCAACCACCTTCAATCAGCAGAGAAGCTGCTGGGAGCAGCAGAGGAGCTGCTGGAAGCAACAAAGAAACTATTGGATCCAGCAACAAGCATCTTTTGGTGAATTTCCTAGTTGGCAGACCGCCAAAATTGAAGCGTGGCCGATGCAAAGGCTGCTATGCCATTTATGGGAAGAAGGGGTTGGAAGTTGGTGGGAAGAGGAAGTATGCCACCCAAGTGCAAACTATTTGTAATATTTTCAAATCATTTTACTGCCGTAATTGTTTTAATCTAGCACATAAGTAACTTAAAATAATCTAGAATAACTATTAAGTGAACAAAAATAAACAATGTCGATTTTTTGACATATTTTTTTTTATTTTTAGACATTTTCCCAACTCAGAAATAGGGGCGTATTCTCCAGGGCCAGCCCTATCAATTCGCCTAAGAAAATGTTTGAAAACGTGTATACTTTTCTATACACCGGCCTCTGAATAAGATCGTGTCGGGTGTATCATTAAAGATACACCGGCCTGGGATTAGAGGTACAATGGTGTATAGTTAAGTATACACCGGCGCTGAGTGTGTTAAGACAATTTTTAATAGATATTGGTGAACATATTCAACAATCAATTGTATTATATGTAGACAGTCAATCTGCTATAAAGCTAATAAGTAACCCAGTGTATCATCAGAGGTCAAAGCATATTGATGTTAAGTACAATTTCATACGTGAAAAGGTAGAGCAAGGTATTGTAAACATCAAGTATATTAGTAGCTTAAATCAATTAGCTGATTTCTTGACAAAAGCTCTCCCTACACAAAAATTCATACCAAATAGAGAACAAACTATGTCAATTAAGTTTATATAATTAATTAGAGTTTTTAAAGATTTTGTTTTCAAACATTTCATTTCTTGTTTTGTTTATAAAATATGATCTTAGTTACTCTCTATAACTATTTACTGTAATAACTTTATAAAATTGTTGATTTAAAGTAATATGAAATTAATGGGCGTATTAGAGTAAGAATTTCATAGTGTTAACTTTATTTTACTGTAATACTATGAGCAATTTTGTCTATAGCATTAACGCATGGAGTGTAGAGGCTTGGCGTCTGTGTTGAACGAATATAGTTTTGTGGTGTGTGAACTGTGAACTTCCAATTTCATTAAATAACAAAATAGAAAATCTTGCAGTTGTTATTTGCTATATTTCATAACACTCAACACGCGGCGTGGCTACAGAGGAACTCTGTAATACTGCGATATGGTTTAATAGACCCGAGTTCTGAAGGCAATCAGTGATAGAATATAAAAAACCTAAACACTTGATTACTAAATTGGAGGAAGTGAAAGTCCATTCAGGTATCCTTGACATTTCGTTTTGTGACAGATTTTCATCGATTTCAAGGATGATCAGGGTAGTAGCTTACTGTAGAAGGTTCTTGCCCTTAAGAATCAAATGCGATAACAAGGAAAGAAATAAACAGTTGTAGACGACAGAACTCGATGAGGCAATGGAAGTATGTATTAGAAAGGATCAAGAAGAAGACTTACAAGAAGAAATACAAGAACTAAAGAAGATGGGATCTTTAGGTAAACGGGGAAGGAAGTACAAATCGTTAAACTTATTTATGGACTCAAATGGGATAATTAGAGTGAGGGGTAGATTAAGATTAGAGATGTCTCTCTCAGTTGAGTTATGACTGCAAACATCCTATACCTAAGGATTCCTTCCTCGCTAAGCTTCTCATAAGCGAGGCGATCATAAAACGATACATGGGAGGCCTCAAGCTATGATCGCTTACTTGAGTACTGATTAAACCTTTAGTAAAGGCTTATTTTAGAAAATTCGTTACTTGCATAAGATATAAAAATAAAGTCAGAAGCCAACTAATGGGGCAGCTACCATCTCCTCGTTTTACACCAAATAATGTTTTTCTGTACAGTGGCGTGGATTACGCTGGCGCGATAAACGTCAGAGTGTCTAAAGGACGTGGTAATAAGTCGTACAAGGGGTACATCGCGCTCTTCATCTGTCTGTCTACGCGGGCGATTCATATCGAAACAGTCAGTGACATGACGTCCAAGGGTTACTTGGCCGCTTTTAAGACATTCGTAGCGAGGCGTGGTAATTGTGCAGAACTACACAGTGACAACGGCACAAATTTTGTAGGCTAAATTTGTGCCGTTGTCACTGCTAAATTCATTCTCAAATTAGTTGAGTGTTTGGCAAATAATGGCACAAGGTGGAACTTTATTCCTCTTCACGCTCCAAACATCGGAGGTATTTGGGAGGCTCATAGCAAAATGCCATAAAACATTACGCTATGGAAATAACTAAAATAAACTAATCTCGCTGTCTCGACACTAGTGAGATCTCTAATCTTTTTTACAGCATAAGCTGCTGAGCTTTCAGAACTTTACAGTGAGAACGGAAAAATTTTGTTGGCATTGCGCGACAGTTGCAGGAATTATTTAATGAAGAAAAATATAAATTCATTTCCGAATTGGTTAAGTGTTTGGCAAATAATGGCACAAGGTGGAACTTTATTCCTCCTCATGCTCCAAACTTCGGAGGTCTATGGGAGGCAGGAATTCCCCAATTCCCTATTTTCCCATAACAAAATGGCACAATACATTATGCTATGGAAATAACTGAAATAAACTAATATACCTGAAAGGAACAGGAAAAAAGTGAAAAATGGAAAATTGTGCAGGGAAAAAAAATATAGGAACCGTTTTAACAGCAAAAAAGACACCTGCACTGAATATAAGCAAAAGTTCCGCGCAGCGGATATTTTAATACCACCTTTTATAAATAATGTATATGTCGATACACGTGAGAGTGGCATTATATCGTACATAAAAAGTAAAACCAACATAACAGTGAAGTTACAAAAAATAAAGTTTAAGCAGACAAAGGATTCAAGGTACTTGTTCCTAAATATAAATTAACTATATTTATGGATTGTGATATGTGGCCTGATGGAATAATATTTCGTCGCTTTGTTAATGTTCGCCTACGTGAAAATAACAAAGAAAGTGATTCAATGAAATGTTCTATAAATAATTGCATAATGAAGGAAACATCACTTACTTCGTTTAATTATAAAAAAAAAAAACTTTAAGAGTATTCCGAGACTGCGTAACTAATTTGAGTCGAAAGGCAGACATTACTGCATTGCAAGAAACCTGGCTGTTACTGCATGAAATATCAGAACTCAGTTATGTTAGCAAGGAATTTACCTACAATGGTAAGTCAGCGGTAGATACTTCTCAATGTATTTTACGCGCGCGTCCGTATGGCGGAGTGGTGCTATTATGGAATAAGTTGAAATTTCGCTGTGTTTCGGTTACTGAATGTGATAGTGATCGTATTGCAGCAACAAAAATTAGTACTACGGACCGAGAGATGTTAGTTTTTAGTGTTTAGATGCCTACAGATTGTGCGGAAAATTTAGTAGAATACGTTCAGTATCTGAGTGAGATTGCGGCAATTGTGGAAAATTACATTAAATATTGAATCAGTTTATATTCTAGGGGATTTTAATGCATACCCAGGGCAGTTGTTTGGTACTGAATTGTTAAATTTTTGTAATGAGTTAACGTGGAATTGTATTGATCTCAATATTTTGGGTTTAGATTCACAAACAGATACCTTTGTCAGTGAAGCCCATGGTACTAGGAGGAGGTTGGATCATTGTATAATCACTGAGGCAGCGCGGAGATCTGTGGTCTCTGTGAAGGTACATTACGATGTGTGCGATCATTTCAGCCTAAAAACTTTCTAAATTATAATGTTATTCCTTATTTTCTTTTATTTATTTAAGGATTTTATTGCATGAACATTAAATCAAAGTAAAATGGTCTAGTCGGCATTCTCCGTCAGTTAACCCATGGAGTGGTGAAAATGAAGTGGTAGGCAATTATATTAATATAATATATCTTCATCATCATTACAGCCTTTGTCTACTGCTAACAATAGATATTTGTCATAGTCGCTACACTTGGTAAGCGGGTTGGCGAGCGCGGTTTTTCTACCGACTTCAAACAGGAGGAGGTACTCAATTCGAATGGATGTTTTTTTATGTGTGTTACCTCATAGCTTCTTTCTGGTAGAACCGATTTCAATGATTCTATTTTATTTAAAAGCTGGTGCTTCTCATGTGGTCCCTTATAAATTTGATCAAGGTTTGACTAATACTGCATGCCTTAAGCGCAAAGCGCGTAGGTATATTCTACTAGCGCCCAAAAATGAAGATCCCAACATTTTGTCACATGAAATCCTGGTGCGACTTTCCATTGACGTCCGTCGAGTTGGGAGTTGATATATATAAGATAGTTTATAAGCACACCCGCAAAGTTTCAACCTTCGGAGACACGTACTTTTTGAGAAAAAAAATATTGAAAATCAACTATTTTTGCAATATTTATGTCAATTGCTACCGTAAAACTGACGCTATTTTGTATTGTCATATTAAACATATAAATGATATAAAATCACATCGTTAGAAAGACCTTTTTAGCTCTGTACTCACTCTTCTTCGGCAACAAATTCATGCCTGCACTATGAAAATTGATGTTATTGCTATGCAGCATAGGCAGAACATTTTCCTATTTAATGGGATCTCCGATTCTCCTGAACTTAATGTTGACAAGAAATACTGGGCATCATACATAATAAAATGGGCATCCCACATGTAACAAATTTATCCATTTTATGTTCTAATCGAATTGGTGTTCATAAGGATGGTCAATCACGGCTAATTCTTGTACAATTTCAAGATCATCGCACAAAGTCTGAGGTGTGAAAAGCTAGAACTAAGTTAAAGGGCTCTCAAATATCGGTGTCAGAGTTATTAACCAAAATGAGGCAATCTGTTCATAAAAAAACACGCAAACATTTTCAAGAAAGTGTGGACTTTGAATGGCACAATATTTATAAAACTCCCCTATAACGAACGGGCAAAGATCTCCACTGAAGAGGACATTGATAATCTCATTGGAAAGTTTCCTGTCGATTGCTCACCAGCTAGTCATGGTATAGCTTCTAATAGTGGCGTTACTGATGTTGCAAAGAAGCCCATTCAAAGCCAGCAAAGTTCTTCAAGTTCAAAAAGTCAGTGTGAGATTTCTTGCCACAATCAAGATGGTATGATGGGGAAGAAAGAGGATGCTAAAAGGTACCGCCGTTTAATAGCCAAAAAGTAGCTTACTTAAATTATATTACATATTACTTAAATTATTCCTTAGGTATCCTTTTTTTTAATATTTAATATTAAGTACTTATTTCATGGTTATGATTACAACTGTAGCATAGAACACTATTATGCCTATAGGTATACGTAGTTCGCTTGTAATAGCTGTTTTATTGCAATTTATTTAAGTTCTTTTCCTTGTAGTATAAACTCCTTTGGAATGTTTGTCCTTGTAAATCAAAATAGATTTTAATCATGTTTCATGTCTAGTACATCACTTGTATAAGCTTAGTTTTCTCTTTAGTTTGTTAGTAGAGGAGTCTTACTTATTTAGTAGGTTTATCTATGCTGTGCATGTTAACGGTAATAATCTAATTACAATCATCTTTATAATTCGTGTTAACAATAGTTATTGTTTTTTTTTTTACTTTTATAAATGTACCCTAAAAACTATACATAATATTTTCTATTTGATTTATAATTTTGGAGAAAGGACATATGTACCATACAGCCAATATCGATTTTGTACTTTGATTTTGTAATCGATTTATTATGGTAGACTCTTATTATTTTGTGAGATACCTATTTAGGAATATTAATGTTATTAGACAAAATATTTTGTCACTTCAGATATTATATTTTATAAGTTTGCACATAAAATTTATTTATATTAATTTTACTTTGTAAACGGTTAACTGATGGGATGGTGTTGTTTATGTTTACTACGGTTTAGCATATAAATTAGTTTTATAGTTAAAATACCTTACTTTTATATTTTATATATTATTTTGTTTAGTGTTATTTTTTGTAGATTTATTTAATTTATGTATTATCTTAGTCTATGAATTATGTCTGATTTTGAGTCGTTTAGTTCTGCAAATGATTCTTCTTCCATGTCATTTTACTCTTGTGATGATTCCTTTACCGACAGTGCGCTTGATTTACACCAACTACTCAAAGAAGTTTTTAAGCCTTTTAACAACTCTCTGAACATATGTTATTATATATATTATTATCTTTTAATAACTCTCAGAACATGTCACATACATGTCGCTTTGTACTTGTTAGCAATGATCGGGTTGGAAAAGGTGGAGTTGGTGTAGCCATTTACCTACACGCATCAATTCCTCATAAATTGTTTTAGCATCTTCTTCCTGTTACTATGCCTCTTCTGAGTTTTTATTTTTGGAACTTAATGTCAAGGGTATAAGGATACTTCCAGGAGTAGTGTATTGCCCCCCTTCGACAGACTACTTCGCCACTTTAGATATGGCTCATTGTACGCACACTGTATAATCATGGGTGACTTCAATACAGATTTGTTGAAAAACTCTCCTCGTTCCAAAAAACTTCTTTCAATTGTTGAGTCGGTTAATCTTTCTATTTTCCCTTTAAAGGCTACTCATCACAATATTGGAACCGATGACTCATTGATTGATCTCATCTTTGCTGCTTCTCCTGATCGTGTGATGATGCACGGACAGTTACCTGCTTTGGGCATCTCACGTCATGACTTGATTTATTCTTCGTATAAGCTTAAACCTCCCAAATATTCCCCTTCTGTACTGCATCTGCGCAGTTTTTCTAAAATAGACTTTGACAAGCTAAGGGATGACGCTCTTAGTCTCGATCTAACCTCATTTATTGCAGCACCTACTGTTGACGATAAAGTCTCCATCCTTTACCAAAATATTCTTAGCCTTTATGATGCTCATACCCCAGTTCACAAGATTATATTGAAGCGTCCTCCAGCCCCATGGAGGACAATAGCAATATGCACAATTAGGACAGTAAGCCGATGGAGACGCTGTGGCTGTGCTCTATATTGTTCTAAGTGAGATTAACGAGTTTTCTTTCTATTATTTTTGTTTTTTAGGAGAAACTTGCAAAATGAACAAAACCCAGGAGTAGAAACACTATACGACTTAGATGCTGTTGCAGTAATTAATGTTGTGCAGCAGTAAGTGTTTTTTTTTTTGTTGACCTAATATCACATTAATGAATTGTACTTATATTTTAATGCTATTTTATTGCAGGAATCAATCGGAAACAGAAAGCTTGATTAATGACAGTAGTAGACAACAGGGAAGTGAAGAAAAAACTTTCTGAAATCCAAGTATTTCTTCACTTTATATCTATATATAAAGTATCCAAACCCCAAGATGGCAGACGAGACCGCGCATGCGAGCACAAGCAGTGACAACACCAGGCGAAAGCCTAACTTTAAGCGTCCACACAATCGTGTGAGCAAGACACTCCCCCCCCCCCCCCCAGAATGAAATCTACAACCGAGACTCCACTTACGAACGATCCACTTTGGAAAGATTCATTTCTGATTGAAGGGGAAACCGGCTTTGTGAACGAGCAGAGCTCTAAAGAGTTCAATGCTGATGCAGCGGGATACACCCAGCTAATTGAGGCGGAGTACAAGGCAATCTCCGACGTTGATAAGTATTATGCCAAAGCTATTCCAGCTAGCGCACATGCTTATTATCACCAGCTTTTGTACTGGTATAAGATAGCACTCATAGCGCAGAAGCGAGGCACAGCGAGCCGTGACCAGGACTGTTTAGTCCGATTTGTGTCCGGCTATCCGTCGGCAGTTATTGCTGCTGGAGCCGGAGAGTATTTAGAAGGTTTGGGAGACTACCAGGATCACACTGGGGTCAAACACCTTCTCAGGGCCGACGAACCTAATGGTGAAGGCCACTTCGGGCGGGCGACGGCCCAGACCCATGGTCTCTATGAGACCTTACCGGCGCCAGCGATCTTCTATCAACGTGTGGTAGAAGATTTGCTTTCTAGTCAACGAGGCGGTCGAGAATCCGACGCCTGGATGCTTGGCGACATAGCCCCGGCAAGAGCTCGTCAACAGCCGGCAGCGGCTGCAGCGCCCCCAGCGCCAGCCCCAGCCAGAGCAAGAGCCGCCGCAGGACGCCGCGAGCGAACAAAAGTGCGGGAAGCACAAGAACTCGATGATGAAGAAGATGAGGAAGGAGGGGACGCGCCACTGGAACAAGAACCACAACCAGAGGCGGAACGTGTAGTCCCAACAGTTAACCTTTTGGGATGGAGAAGGTCCAAAACGCTGAGTCAAAACCAGCTCGGCGAGATCAACGATGTCCTCGCCCGTAACCCTGACCTAGCGCTGATCAACCACCGGTATCAGATAAACAGAGAGCTATTTGAGTTGGTTGAGAGGCGTCTACGTGAATGTAAACGCTACAAGATGTCCAACATCCCCAACACCACGGGCAATATATCCTTTCTCCTCAGTTTCAAGGCACTCCCCTTCTTGCCTCAGCCAGTATCGGTATCCTCGGAGTCGACATATCGAGTGACGTGCAGTTTCGTGGTCACTTGGAAGGGAAGGCCAAATTGGCCTCTAAAAAGCTTGGCGTGCTCAGCAGAGCGGGACAGTATTTCATGCCGGCACACCGCCTGCTACTTTACAAGGCGCAAGTTCGGCCTCACATGGAATACTGTTCCCATCTCTGGGCAGGGGCTCCCCAGTGCCAGCTCCTTCCACTTGACCGCATCCAACGCAGAGCGGCTCGAATTGTCGACGACCGAGCCCTTTCCGATCGGCTCGATTCATTGGCACTGCGAAGAGATGTTGCATCCCTTTGCATTTTCTTTCGCATCTACCATGGGGAGTGCTCTGAGGAATTGTTCGGATTAATCCCAGCCGCCAAATTTCACGAACGCACATCGCGGCAGAACTCCCGATACCATCCACACCATCTGGATGATTGGCGGTCCACCACTGTGCGATTTAGAAGATGTTTTCTTCCTCGCACGACCTCCTTGTGGAATCGATTACCATCAGCGATTTTTCCGGACCGATACGACTTAGGGACCTTCAAGAAAAGAGCGTACTCCTTTTTAAAAGGCCGGCAACGCATCTGCGATTCCCCTGGTGTTGCAGTTGTTCATAGGCGGCGGTAGTCACTTACCATCAGGTGAGCCGCATGATCGTTTGCCCGCTCTCCTATAAAAAAAAAAAAAAAAGGTTGACACAGCAATATATGTCGTCATTGTACAGTTATCAAAAAATTAAACGACGTTTCAGACAAGTAAGTTTAATATAAGGTTTCTTTTATGTTCCGGTAATATTAGTGGAAAATATTCATCTATATTTTCTCGAAATTATTTTTTTTTTGATTTCTTACAGAAAAATACGAAAGAGAATATGTACCGGTGACGCATTTAATGTAAGAAAACAAAAAAACCGAGACAGTAAGTTATGGAACAATCGAATAAATATTTACAACAATGGGATTTGCCTATTGAAGTAACTTCAATAAGAGAGGAGCTAAGCCGTTATTGCTTAAAACTGGTATTTACTTTCGCATGATAGGTAAATAATAATATGTCTATTGATTAAAACTGGTGTTTACTTTCGCATGATAGGTAAATAATATAGTAACACATTGGTTTTATTGTAACGGATTCTGATGTTAAAGTATGGGAATCACAGAATAGTGGACTTTATATATTTTACTGAAGAACATGCGGATATCTAGCCAGGAATCACTATACGAATGTTAGTTCAACACCATGAAGCTAGTTTCAGAAACAAAACATGGTTTAGTTTCGAAGTTACGATCGTCGTTTAACTAGCATTGAGAGTGGTAGTGCTACTGCTTTTTTACAAACTAAAAGACCATATTGGTGCTAAGTTTAGTAACTCATTAGTGCGTTAGTCGTGTGCGCACACTGCAACATTCGGAGTACATAAAGAAGAAAAAAGACACAAAAAGCTTGCTGTGCTCTGATAATACAAGTGTTTATTAGTGGCATAATTAGCTTTTTGTTTTTCAGAAAAAGACATTCTTCCAAGAGAATATGCGGAAACTGCCGAAATTCTCCTCTTTTTTGACAAGGTATTCCAATCTGTTAATGGCAGCTATAATAAAGGAAAAAAACTAAATGGAAAGCCTCTTCTTGGACCAGCAAGGCCAAACTCAAAACGCCATAAGTTGTGGAATGAAGCAAAAGCTATATTAAATAACATGAAATTTTTAAATAAAATATCAAATAATCATGAGACTGTACTAACATATAACATGTACGTATATACGTGGTAGAGCCATGCTGCAGCTATATTATGGTTGTAGAACGAATGGGTCGGCTCGACCGGGGAAGGACCACGCTCTTACAGAAAACCAGCGTAAAATAGCAGCTTAACGCTGCTGTGTTTCGTATGGTGAGTGTAGAGAACCGAAGACCCTTTTTACTGGCAAAGAGGCATTCCATCTTAGTCCTCACGGGTGACAACGCATCTGCATCTTGAGTCTTTATTGAGGATAGATGTAGATGTCTATGGGTCGCAGTAAACACTTACCATCAGGTGGACTGTGTGCTCGTTTGTCACCCGATCCTATAAAAAAAATAACAATAAAAAATGGGTATGGACAGTAATTGATATACAAATTCTTTAAAAAAACTGAAAACTAAGTATGGTATTATTTCTGTTTGGATGCGGCACCTCAACCAAGACCCTATTGAAAACTTTTTTGGAACCATTAGAAGCTATGGGTGCCGCAATGTTAATCCAACACCAGAACATTTTCAGAGTGCCTACACTACACTTTTAATTAACAATATGTCCTGTGTCCATGCCTCAGGAGCTAATTGTGAAAAAGATAATTGTAACGCTTTAGAATCTGTTATGATCACAGATAACTGCAAAGCTGCTACAACCTGTGACCTTGAAACAATCCCGGATGTAGATATAATTGATATTAAAGAGAACACTGCTCCATTATTTTTTATAGGAGAGGGGGCAAACGAGCATGCGGCTCACCTGATGGTAAGTGACTACCGCCGCCCATGAACAACCGCAACACCAGGGGAATTGCAGATGCGTTGCCGGCCTTTTAAAAAGGAGTAGGCTCTTTTCTTGAAGGTCCCTAAGTCGTATCGGTCCAGAAAAATCGCTGATGGTAATCGATTCCACAAGGAAGTCGTGCGAGGAAGAAAACATCTTCTAAATCGCACAGTGGTGGACCGCCAATCATCCAAATGGTGTGGATGGTATCGGGAGTTCTGCCGCGATGTGCGTTTATGAAATTTGGCGGCTGGAATTAATCCGAACAATTCCTCAGAGCACTCCCCATGGTAGATGCGAAAGAAAATGCAAAGGGATGCAACATCTCTTCGCAGTGCCAATGAATCGAGCCGATCGGAAAGGGCTCGGTCGTCGACGATTCGAGCCGCTCTGCGCTGGATGCGGTCAAGTGGAAGGAGCTGGTACTGGGGAGCCCCTGCCCAGAGATGGGAACAGTATTCCATGTGAGGCCGAACCTGCGCCTTGTAAAGTTGCAGGCGGTGTGCCGGCATGAAATACTGTCCCGCTTTGCTGAGCACGCCAAGCTTTTTAGAGGCCAATTTGGCCTTCTCTTCCAAGTGACCACGAAACTGCACGTCACTCGATATGTCGACTCCGAGGATACCGATACTGGCTGAGGCAAGAAGGGGAGTGCCTTGAAACTGAGGAGATACGACAAAGGGGTTCTTTTTAGCGGTAAACGCGCAAACTTGTGTCTTCTGAGGATTAAACTGGACTAGATTTAGTCGCCCCCAATCCGAGACTTTGTCCAGCAAAGACTCGACTTCAGACACAAGTTTGTTCCGGTACTCGGCGACGTTTTCCCGAGAAATATTGGCCCAGCCGGTGTATAGAGCATCACCAGTGCTGTGATGAATGCAGCAATGAATGTTACCAGTTAGCAACATATCATTGATATGCAGAAGAAACAGCGTTGGTGATAGCACACAGCCTTGTGGAACACCAGCGTTAATAGGCTTGTAGTCAGAACATGCACCGTCTACAACGACCTTGATGCTCCGATCTGCAAGGAAGCTGGTGATCCAATTGCACAATTTCTCGGGAAGCCCATAGGAAGGGAGCTTCGAAAGAAGCGCTTCGTGCCAAACCCGATCGAAGGCCTTCGCAATGTCCAGACTAACAGCCAACGCCTCCCCCTTGGACTCTTTAACCGATCATGCGGGGAGCTCTGTTTATGACTTTGCCTTGGCATATGGTCTGACACAACTGGTTACTTCGCCTACGCGGATCCCAGATGTGGAAGACCATGTACCTT